ATGTAATGGTTTTAATATTTGTTTTCCTTACTACTTAGATAATAATAAATAGTAGGTGAGCTAGCATTAAACTCACTAATTATTTAATCATGTGAAAGATGTTATTATTTTCTTTTTATAACAATTTTTAATTATACAATTTAATAAAGCAACATTGTTTTTCTACTTAAAAAAAAAAATATGTATTTAGTTAATAAATTTATTTTTTAATAAAATTTTTTATTTTTTTTTTAAGAATTTCATAGTATTATACAATATAATAAAAATTTAAAAAAACTTTAAATAGGTATATAACTTTTTTCTTAAAATTTTTTTTTTTTTGGTAATTATCTTTCAAAATTAAAGAAACAAATATTTTTTTCACCTTTCAACTTTCCAAAGTTCTTTACATACTATATTCTTTACCTTCATTACAAGAACATCAAGAAAATTAAAGAAGTACACTAATATATTGGGATGGGATCTTTGGCTAAAGAAAAGCAAGTTTAGGGCTTTTGCTTTTTCTTTGAATTGCATGAGGAAAAGCTCATGACAGTTACTTCTTTATAAATCTTCTTTGGAGTTCTTTCTATTCTCATTTCTTACAAATATATATTTCTTATTAAATAATCATATTTTTTTCTTGAAAATCTTTTTTGCAAACAAAAAAACCAAATCACACATTAAAAATATTTATGTTGTTAATTTGAAGAACTAGTAATATATTTATTGTTTACTTTTTATTATCTTTTAACATAATTTGTTACACTATAAAAATCATAAAACTTTTTTTCAACAAAAAAACTACAATCAATTTATTTTTATCAATTGATTAACATTTCAAAATCAACTAATCAAATACTATCAATTATTCAAACAAAACTGTACTATAAAAATATTACATATTAATTAATATAAAAAAAATCTTTTTTGGAAATAACTATCAAAACAAAATTACATTACCAACAAATAAGCCAATTATATTATTAACAAACAAATCAATCACTAATTATATTAACAAATCAACAATACAATTATTACAACAAATCAACTATCAAAGAAATATATCATCAATACTACTGTATACTTTGAACAGTAGCCTGGCCATTTATGATAAATATATATATACCATACTTTAATTGAATGAAACTACTAATATGACTAAAGATGGGTCCCTAAACCATGTGATGCTAAATGTTACCTGGTTTATATTATATGTAGATCAATTTAGGTTATAAAAATTTAATAATCGAAACAGATGACAAATAGTCATCACTTGTTTAGAGACTTATCTTTAAATATAACATGCTTATTTGAAGCATCCTTAACTTTATAATTGATTTTTTTACATTTATTTCTTTGCTTAATATTTTATTTCTTTTTTACTTCTTATAATCTTTTTATACATAAATTTGAGTAGATATTAATAGCTGCTCGGCATTATCTTTGACAATGTATTGGTTTTAATATTTCTTTTTTTTTGCAACTTAAATAGTTTATCATAGGCAAGCTAGTATTAAACTCATTAATCAACTAATTATATGAAAGATATTATTACTTTCTTCATGTATAAATTTTTCAATTTTACAATTATAATAAAGTGAAAATGTTTATTTACTTAAAAAAATAAAATAAAAACTTTAAATATTACAAAATAATAAAACTTTAAAAATATTTAAAATAATTTTAAAAATTTACAAAAAATTAAATTGATTTATTCTTATTAAGTATTTAATAAAAAGTGTGCAAAACAAAATTTTACTCTAATTTATTTAAGACAAAAAATCTCTGAAATATAAAAATTTGAAATTTTTAAATAATTAATAATTTTACAAATATTTTAAATTTAATAATTTTGAATATTTAAAAAACTCTATAAGATTTTCATTCTAAATAACTTATAGTAAAATTTTGTTCTGTATATTTTTTATTAAGTACTTTAAAAAAATAAATTAACACTATTTTTTATAAAATATTTGAAGTCAATTAAACAATTTTATTTTATATTTATTTTAAAGATTTTTGAATTATTATACTATTAAATTTTTCAAAGTTTTTTAAAAATCTTCAAAATATTTCTGATGAAGATATTTTTTATGTTATAAAGTTTATTATATTAAAAAAATTATACAGTAAGTTTTTATAAAAATTAAATTAAGTCTTATCTTATATAATTTTTTTTACTTTGATTTGTTTTTAACTTATAATTATCAAAAAAATTAGAAATTCTATTTTCATACTACTTAACTAGATTTGATTAGAATTTGGATATTTGAATATTCTGTATATAAAAAAACTAAATCATTAACTATTATATTCAATTAATTATCAAAAAGATATATTATTAATATTTTTATTTATCTTAAGTTATAGCTTAATTATTTCAAAAAGTATTATTATATTTTAAAAAAGTAAAATTATTAGAGTGGCATATCTATTAGGTATTTTTTATATTATAATTAATTTTTTTATCATTTTCTTTATGTTTAATATACATATATTTTTTTTATCATTTTTTTAAATCTCATTATATATAATCCTAAATAGATATTTATAGCTGCTTAATATTATTTTTAATATTTATTTTTTTTTATTATTTAGATAGTTTTCTGTAGACAAGCTAACATTTAACTTATTAATCAATTTGATTATAAAAAAGATAACATTTTTTTTATATAAAAAAATTTTAAAACTTTTATAATATAATAAAATAATAAAATAAAATTTTTTAAACTCTTTCCCACTCTCTCTTCTATGCTTGAAAATTTCCTTTTAAGAAAATTTTTAAGTTGTTTACTTTTTTTCCTTTTGCTTTTTCCTTTCTCTTCTTCTTTACTTCCCCTTTCCCATATGTTTTATTTCCTCTTTCCTATTTTCACCTCTCTTTTCTTTATATTTTTTTTTTATATACTTCACATCTTTCTTTTCTCTTTTTTCTTCTCTGTTAAAGTGAGATTTTTCCTTTTTCCTAAAGATTTTCTTTCTAAATCTTTTTTTCTTTTATAAATCTATTCTCCATAATATCAATCCCCTGGCCAGTCAACTCCTTTTTCTCAAGATCATATTCAGAAGTGATAACTTCTCTTAAAACATGGGTTTTAGAATTTTTTTCTTTTCCATGGCCTTACAGAAAAAGGACAAACGGTTTACTCCCTTCAAAAAATCAACATGGTTATCATTATCAAATCTGATTTTGTTTACTTGTTAATGGTTAAACTAGATATATCTAAGAAATTGGTATACAATTATTGTTATCCAAAAGTATTCAAATAGTTGCGTCTTACTATACATGTTGCTAAAATTCGTAGATCCTTGACACAATTAATGCAATTATTTGATGCAATTAATTGAATCACTATTAAAACATATAAATAATTGAGTCATGACATAATTATTTTTGAGGTTTTTGGGAATTAAGTTAACAGCAAAATAATTTATACCATATATATACGTTTTACTATATCCAGAAAGATATGGTAACCAATGCCAATACAGCTAACAATAAGCTAAATTAGTTTGCAAGTATCATGCTGGTGATTGGAGAAATCTAATAGAATAATATGTAAAGATCAGGAATTCTAGTTACCCTCATAACACGAGCTGGTTACAATAACGAAAGTTTCTTGCTTACCTCTCTGACAATATAGGCTCATTATATAAGGTTAGGTAACAACATTTATAAGAAACTTTAACTCTATAACGTCTGACAACTTTTCTCAACAACTATTACTATATGTTCAAACACTCTTCTCTTACCTTCCCTTGTCTTATACTTGGGTTGAATTCTATTCAAATACAATACTTAAGTGATATGGCTATATATGCAAAGCTTCTTATAAAGAATAGCTGTCCTTTTTCTTATTTGCTGCAGGTGTAGGCAACTGCCACAGGCCTGGTCAACCTGTAATCTGCTGCAATTTTAGAAGGATAGAAAAGGTCAAATACTAGATGGTCGGATGAAAGGCTAATTTTTACTAGATATTCGAACCAAAGTAGTAACCATTTAACTAATTGAGTAAATTATTTAGATTAAGTATAAAGTGGAATACATTCGGCTTGCTGTACATTAAGCTACATTTGGAAAGCAAGCTTGTCAATCCTAATTATGATTTGGAGGTCAACCTGTATATAGTAGCTACAGCACTTTCATGTGATTAAGTATTCACTTTTCTCTAGATATCTAAATGCTATTCAAAAAATAATATAGGTTTTGAACTTCTTTTTTCTATATTCTTGAGTGGTGCTAAGGAGCACAGAGGATGGACTGCGTTCATAGAACCTAATATTTAACTTTTTCTAACAAAGAGAGATGTATATTATACTATAAATATATTATAAATCTTATATTGCAAGTCTAAAATTATAATAATAAAATAAAATATAATAGTTTTTTGCTTCTTCAAAATATATATATATATAATAAAATAATAATCTTTTACAATATATATCTATTATTATACAAATTAAATTAAGAAATAATGTTTACCTACAAATATATATATATATATATATATATAATAAAGTAATAATGTTTATTTACTTAAATATATATATATATTTGTCAAATTATTTAATTTTTATTAAATAATTGATAAGTAGTATTATATTAAATAAATTAGTTTCAACTAGTATAATTTAATAAAAAAAACTTAAATTAAATTTTAATAAAAATTAAACAACTAATTAATAATTAAATATACAAATATTTTTTTTCAAAAGATTACTATAGAATGATCATATTATATTGGTTTCCAGATTATTAATATAAATAAGATTATCAACTCTTGTTTATATCTTTTCTTATTATTACCACTTAAAAAAGTTAACTTTTTTTTTTTTCAAAACAAGTTGTTAATAAAATCATTGATTTTATTCCATACTGTATTTGAAATCATGTGTTCTCGACAGTATTATTTATATATCATAATTTAATTAATTTAATATCCACTGTACATATAATGATTTCTATATACAGTAAAATATGATCGACCAACATCATTAATTACTTCATATTGCAAATTCTATTTTAGGAATTGATTATAAACTGGATTTTTTGTTTCGTCTATAGCAAGATATCCTAGATTATTTTTGAAATTTTCAAATGCCTCTGAATCTTGAGGTGGTACTTGAATTCCAACCAACACCTTTCCCATATCTGGTAATTCAAATATAGTTAGTGTCTTTGAGATCTACCATCACGTTAATTGTCGTTAGTGAAACATACCGGAGCCGTGATTGCGGTAATGAAATAATGAAATATTCCAATTTGATCTTAATCCCAAAAGAAACTTTTGCAGTGCTCCGGGCCGTTCCGGGAATTCTAAAATGGACATGGTATTACCATCACGTATCAATTTGTATGAAACTTGTCGGAAAACTTACCGAAGCGATAAAGTCGTTCATTCTCGACATTACTTCTTCCACCAACCAGGTACCGAGCATGACTCTTGGCCATTTCATTATCGCTTATATCTTGACCGTGCATACCGTCTTTTTCCAACTTATCCAGGATTTGTGGAAGTTCTTCTTCGCGATTTTGAACACCGAAAGACATGTAGATCCATGCTTGTTTTGAATCCGAATATCTAAATTAAAGGATAGGCATAAAATAAAAATATAGGGTCTATGCTAATAATAAATTTCATTATTTCTCACCTATACGAAAACTCGGTTATTGGACGCGGGTGGATGTGATTGTATAGTTGAATGAAACTAAGAAGTAACGTTATGTTGAGTTTTAGAAACATTCGAAGCGAAAAAAGGGCTAATAATATATTCACCTTCCAGGACGTTCAGGTATGATCACAGAAATCAAGGCTTCACGTCGTTCACCCAATTCAGCACGTTCAGCGACAAATCTTAGACGTTCAAAGTTCATATTTGCTCCGGAGGTAACGGCTACAAAACAACCACCTGTAATTTTATTTTCCGCGACGTATTTGTTAATTCCTGCCACTGAAAGTGCACCAGCTGGTTCGACTATTGATCGAGTGTCTATTCAAGAAAAAAAAAGAAGAGTGCAACAGTATTGTTAATATGGTTAGTATATCTTATTAGAAAAAAAAAAACGCATATGCCGGAAATCAATTTCACACCTTCAAAAATTTCTTTAATAGCAGCACATATTTCGTCATTGGACACGTTAATCATTTCGTCAACAACTTCGCTACACACCCTAAAAGTTTCCTCGCCCACAATTCTAACGGCAGCACCATCCGCAAATAATCCGACCTCATCAAGGGTTACACGCTTTTTTGCTTTCAACGAAAGTGTCATGGCGTTAGCGTCATAGGTTTCTACTCCAATAATTTTGATCTTTGGACATAAGCTTTTTACATAACTTCCGATACCAGCAATAAGACCACCACCGCCAACACAAACAAAGATAGCATCTATCTTCTCCATATTGTATTGACGAAGGATCTCCATCGCGATAGTTCCTTGGCCGGCTATAACATAAGGATCATCGTAAGGAGGAATATTTGTAAATTTTTCTTGCTCTATTAAACGAGCACATTCTCCCTTTGCCTCATCGAAATCAGAACCATAAAGAACAACTTTAGCGCCAAGTCGCTTAACATTTTGCCATTTAATTGTCGGTGTTGCACTGGCATCTCCAAATCAATAATGCAAGGATGTAATATAGAATGGTGCACAACGTGAAGCATATTAGATAATTTTAACGGAAATCATCAGACAAAATGTTTTAAAGCTTTCCATACAGTGGCATCACGATAGTTGCTGGAAGATTAAGGTGTTTAGCAGACATAGCAACTCCCTGGGCATGATTCCCTTGGATAATGAATGAATAGGGAGAATTGTTATAAATTATTTGTTAAATGTATTCGATTCCAATGAAAGTTTTCGTACAATAGACTATCAATTGAGTTTCTATTCTGATTAATGTAGAAATTTTTATTCTACTATTTGCTCATTCTTAAATGCATTCTCTGCAACTATGTACAAATGCATGTACACAATATCTGGTTAAAATAAAAACATACCAGCAGAACATGCTATAACACCCTGCTTTCTTTCTTCTTCTGTCAAATGAGCAATCTTATTATAAGCACCCCTAATCTTAAATGAAAAGACATCTTGCAAATCTTCTCTTTTTAATAAGATTTTATTATTCGTTTTTATCGAAAGATTTGTGGCATGTTGCAAAGGTGATTCTTTAACAATTTCATAAACTCTAGAAGTAAGAATTAGGCGCAGGTAATCAGGAGTGGAAGTTGCTGAGTTGTCTAGGGAAATCATGATTAAGATAGCAAAACTCCTTTTTAATTTCCATTCACCAATTATATATGAACTTTGAAACGTTGATTATTGATTAGATGCATCTACATCGAATATCAATCAGAGAGCGTGGCACGTGATATTTTAACCGAAAAAAATAACGTAAGAGTCATTGAATATTTAACACCAATACTGAGAGTTAGCACTTGATAACATAAAGGGAATATTTCCAAACTTTATGTGGACATTTATAAATATTAAAAATTTTTTTTTCATTTGCAATTAAAAAACGCTCTTCGGAAATAATCATGAAAATATCCATTAGGCGTAATAAGAGGGGGAGATTAACATATCGGATAGATGTGATAATTGATCTTCTGTGAATTGTTTCATATCTTCATGCCACGTATCTTGATGCGTTCTCTTAAAATCAGTAAACGTCTTCTTTACAGTTGTCTAAAAATTGAAAATGATAAATGGGTTGAGAAACAAAAGACATGTAGGAATTGAGTAAAGTAGCCGAACATACCTGAATTGGTGCAGGATCTGATATACAATCTGCCAATTTTAATAAAACTTCTGGCATCCATTTAGGAACTTCGTATGGAAAAGCATCAACCAGGCATGACAAACCAAGAACTCCTGCATGCCGTGTAAGAACAGCCTCCTGAAAACCTTGGGGCAATGCCGGTCGGGGTCCCTGTCCTTTTCGTTTTCTCGCTGGAATCTTAACCTCCAACAACTTGTAAAATTGTTCCTAAGTAATAAGAAAAGGGTGATCGATCATGAGCGACTGTTGTTATGGTGATCAGATTCTTAAATGAAGATCTTACTTTTAAAGTATCTATAGCGTCCCTTTGCGAACATCGTATTAAACCTGATAATGTAATTGCCGCCAATTGACGTACCTATAAGGATAATTCTATTATTACTTAAATGTTAACAAAGAGACATTTACTTGATTCAATCCATTTACCTCGATTTGAGTGTCTTTTAACATTCCAGAGACAACGTCCATTACTTTAATCATTTCTTCTTTACTTAACATAAACAAATGTTTAAAGAAGAAGACTTGTAACACCGGAAGTGCTTTTACTCGTATACGCCAGCTGGATGTTTCAATCAGTATTTCGACAAATTTGTCGATCATCAATGACACCATGTCAGGAGGATATGGGAAGGAAGCGATGATATTTAAGACATGAGCTGCCACGGATTGAAGGTCTTGATCGTCATTTACGTCTTGCATCAAAAATATCGAAGGTAGTAGTGGAATGATCAAAGGATAGGTTCCAGATGCTTGCCAAACCGTGAGAGCATCATAAATCCAAGAGAGAACTATATTTTTGAGAATGATAATTAGTAACCTCAGTAAAAGGTAAGAATAAACCTACTAATTACCTGTCTTGCTAGCATTTCCGTATTCGGAGGATCCAGCCGCAGCTGGCTTTTTTTCGGCTCGCCATGTTTCTAATGATTGCACTAATTCTTCTACTTTTTGTTGTAAATTGGTATGCAGAGTGACAGGAATGAGACCCACACCGTCTCCAATTCTAATATTATTTTCAATAATTTCATCAATGTTATTAACCGAAGGGTGCCATTGCACCTGCAATAATAAATTGATATTGGCTGCCAACACATCGCGCACTTGCTTGTACGAATGGCGGACGTTTTCAAAATAATGATCGAGCAATGGTTGAGATCTTGGTATTATGCGCCATGAAAAAGAACTAATAAGGGCGCGAACAAAATATAGTTTCTTTGATTCTGCGAAGGAAGTACGTGAGATGGGATCTAGAGCTGAGCCATAAACAAGTTCGACAAGAGGAAGGACACGTCGAGGGTCTCGATTACGCTAAATAAAGATAAGATAGACTTAAAGAAAGCCTACATTAGAAGAAACGAAAACATTAATAATAATAAGAGATAAATCCTCACTAAACTGTAGCCCAGAAATCTTTCCCAATATATGAGAGAATCTGATGTAATCGAGTTAAACGTTTTATCTAATACCGGAATTAACCAACTCCACATTGATTGCAAATTTTCTATACGCCAGTGTTTGCTTCCTCTTATGAGACCCCCCAAAATTTCGGACGCTGCACGTTGCTGATTTTTTTCCGTCGATTCGCACAATCTTTGCATCTCCGGTTTGACAATATCTAGAAACCTGTCTTCGTACATCTGAAAGATACTTTTAAAAAGATGCGCATTTATGATAGAGAAATTATCTTCTCTATCCCTTGAAGACTCTTGTGACAAATAATCTAATAAAGAAGACCAGAATTTCGGTGATTCAAAGCTTTCCAGAAATTTATGGTAAGCGGGTTGAGATGCGAGTTCAATATCAGGTATTATAGTAGCCGAAGTACGTGGTGTATAAACTGTTATTTTGTCAGGCCAAACGTACCAACCAATATAGACTTTGTCTAGGAAGTATCTACAAAGAAAAATTCAATGAGACAAACTTAAGTAAAAATGGCAAAGGGCATTTAGCTGAAACACACATATTCTTTTCATTGCTCTCGTTGATTGGAGTCAGACTTGAAAGTAAATATTCATTTGTATATCCTTCCGGCAAAGGCTTTGGAACAACAATGGTTGTTTTTAACGGATTAATTGTTTCACTTGTTGCAGTGAACTCGAGGTCGCCCTTGTTAAAGGTTCTTTGCTTGATATGAAATAATACTCTCGTTGTTGTTGATATTGCAATTCTTCTCAAAGCCGGATGTTCAGAAATCAAACTTTTAACAGCAAATTCCGCTAATTGTGATGTTGGAGGAGCTTCTGGTCGTATCAAAAAATCCAAGAAATTGGCCGCCATAGAAGCAAATCGCCAATGAAGACTGTCTGATTTTACCAGTTCCAGGAGATCTTCAACCTTAGAAAAATTGAAAATTAGTTTCATTAAACAAAGTATCATAAACTTATTTTGGCTACTCACAAGCTCGAAATAACTTTTTTTCTGCAACTGCATTCTCTGTTCTGTTTTTTCTTTGATTCTCTTAAGCCTTCCTTCGTCGAATGATAATGAAAGAGTTTCCATCAACCGGCAAATTGCATCGTTCAATCCGTCAGTAAAAATTGTTTTAAATGCGGTATTGTTGTAATTCAGTAGGTAATCGTAAAAAACTTTGCGAATCATTTCTTGCACTGAATGCTAAAAGCGATTGGACCAAATAATTAGCGAGTCGATCCATAAATGCTTTGTACTAACTTAAAATAGGAATACCTTGTCATCGTGTTGGGCTTGGCATATTCGCGTGATAAATTTAGGTACAAATCTCCAATCCCTCAAACACGTATACATATAAGTTCTTGATCCCAATAAATACAGTGCACCTTTCATCCTCTTTGAATTTAATTCCTCTAATAATAAAATCAATGATCTCAGAATCGTATTTCACTCTTTCATATCAAACGTTACAAGGTCATACCGTTATATTTTAGAGCCTCTAACAATACAGGAATGATAAGAGGCTTTGCGCCAATGAAGCATCGGGATGCAGTTGTGAGGTAAGACTGTGATATCCTGTTGAATATCAATTAGCTGCGACACTTATATTTTCACATGTGATGATTAAGAGAAAATCCTTACTTTCTTATGTCTCGATAAGAGCTCAACGATAACTCTACCAAATCTAAAAGTAGATCATCATGTAATTTTGTTCTCGCCCTACCATAGGCATTTAATTTCAAACGACACAAATGTTGCTGATAAGCTCGTTTGACTGAAAGAAAAGGAAAAGGTTAAAAAAGTGACTTAACCTTCCTAATCTAAAGTTTCACATATTCATTATTTACCCAATAAATAACGAGGGTACTTTTTATCGTGATGTGGAGCTTTCAGCATTCCTTTGGCATACTGATAACCACGCTTGCTCGCCTCATACTTGGCCTTTTCCACACCGCGATCTGTAAGATAAATCTTAATAGCCTGACATAATTGTTTATGAAAAATACAATCGAAATTAGTGCAAGTTGATTTAATAAAATGTATAAAACAATAAAGTGAAATTCAATATAATAATAACCACGAACTTTGAGAAGAATTTTCAAACTTTCCACATTGTCCTCTCTAGAACCTCGAAAGTATGTGGCCAGTTTATGCAAAAAAACCCCCAAGTCTTTTCGCAATTGCCTGGCGATTTCCCTGCGTGGATCTTTTGGATCGGTAAAACAATACCCCGCATATATACTTTTTGTCGGACGAACGGCTTCGGTTTCTTCATCCCTATAATTTCAATCCGTTAAATTTGTTCTCTAATATTCTTAAAATTGAAGTTATCTTAAAATTTACTTGTAGTCAGAAGTTTCAACGTCACCGTCATCTTCTACCAATGTGTTCATTCCGCTAAGACAATTCCGAATAATGCTCAATAAGCGACAAAATTCATGGGACACGTTTGACACCTTTCTATTCTCATCAACTCCGTGATCCATTAAGTCCTCTAGTTTTTGCATAGTCGGTCGCAAAAAAGTGTCCAAAATCTCCATCGCAAAGTCTAGCTCGGGATCAGATGGAATATGCCAATCGATGTTAATATTTTCTGGATCCCCTGGTTGAACCCAATATTTGTGATGGTTTTGTTGGAAGTCTAAACATAACATAATTCCAAATATTTTAATATTTGGATAAAGATTCGACTCACGCAATTGTTATTCTAATTTTACCATCAGAGTTCCAACGTCCAGGATCAACATTTCGACATTCCAATGGATATATTTGAGTTAAAGCAACCAACATCATTCTCAAAAATTTTCCCGCCCACATGTATCCTTTCCTGGAACGGCATCTCTCCACCATCTCTTTGGCGAGATCCAGCAGATCTTCTTTATAGTTGAGTAGATCAGCACCACTAGACATCGCAACATGGTACAAAATACATTGATACCAGTGAAGTGTGGTATCGGATTGTATGTGATGTGTGGAGGATGTTGGCGTAGATGAAGCACCATGCTTAAGTTCATCTAGAATATTTGAACGACAGAGAGGAATGAATTGATCAAGTGCCTTTTTCCTATTTGGACTTGTTAAAGTAGAACATAAGTACCCTTAAAAAGGAAGATGTGTAAGTGAGCCTTAAGGACATCTATCAAAAGCTAATTATCGAATACGTTTCCTTAAATTTACCCATTGGTTTTATGGAATTTTGAAGTATCGTGGTGGATGCAAAATTGATAACCATTTTTAGCGCCATATCTTGAAGTTTCTCGGACATTTGGGTGCCAACAATTTCACAAGCATGCTGATGAAAGAAGAAAAATATTATACAAAAAATTGGGATAAAAAATAAAAAAATACAACATAATGAATAAGATCAAAACTTACCAACAATACAGTGATTAATCCAGTTTCCATATTGTGTAGGTTCATCTTTCCGCCATCGTTTGCGGGAAGATTTTCAAACTATTAATTATAAGATTGTTTAAGTGAAGGAGGCTTTATATGATTTTGGTGTCCTATCGAGTTGAGGTAAAGATCAAGTTCGATGGAAACAAAGGATACGATAGTAAAAACACGTCTTAAAAATTTTGCAAGCCATTCTTCAAACTCCGCGGTGCTCGCCTTACATAAAGCATCTTCTTCTTCTTCGTCTACTTCCATCTGATCTTCCTCCCTCTCATCAAGGTCCATGCCATCCCAACGGAACCCAGACATACTGGAATTTCCATCGGTCAAGTCTATCAAAGGAACACCCATAATTGCGTGGGTCAAAAAAATTAAAGAAGATATTGTTTTGACCGGGTCATTCATGTCGATACCAGGAATCGTCAAATGTAGAAGTGGCGCTAGATGTTTACCACCAGCAGGGTAATGAGCGCGAGAAAAAAGTGGAATAGCCAGAAGAGAAAGTGCCGAAATTGACGATGTTGTCCTATGAGTCTAAATTGAAATCTTTTTTTTTTCAATTTAAGATGAATCGAGTAAAAACCAAGTGCACTTAATTCTCAAACCTCAGTCAAAGTTTCTAGAGAGGGATAAACACGCTCCAACAGTCCAGGGAATATCAACGAAGGTTCTAACCCTGTTATATAAGTAACTTAAGGCTAAATAATAATTTCCTAGTATTTACAAATTTCGAAGAATTCGTTACATAACCAAGGATACAGGATAAATATTTTAATGCTGCCTGGCTCGATCCAACCGATAATGGATCCTTACCAAACATTGATAAGAATGTGACCCCTCTAAGAATCATAACGAATTGACGTCTAAGTTCGGGCGTTAATTTTCGTGACACGGGGGTTTTACATTTTGGCTTTTGTTCTGCAAACCACGTGATATTCGAAATTCAATTATTTTTTACCCGCACCAGTCATAAACGCAAGACAATAAAAAAAAAGATTGAAAGACTACCATCCGTCCACCTCTTTAAAAATTCCCAGCCAAGAAATTGCAGAAACCTTACAATCGAAAAAGTCCATCTTCCGTAGTTACTTGGATGGTAAAAAGACTCTGTCGCTTGGATCATATTTGCTAGGTATGTGAGGGTTGCTTTTTCATTTGGATTTCCGGACGGAGGAAAGATCGTGTATACGATAAATCTAGCCAACATTTTAAATTTATCCTAAATCCAAAAAACATTACCAAGTTACTCAAGATGAAGGGTGCAACAATAAGCAGACATCACATATGAACCCACCCCTTTTTTTCTTAACAACATAGCGCTACCAGTCTTGTGATCAATTTTTGAAGGCCAACCCATACTTGATCCTCCCCTTCCAGAATTGCTATTGCCATTGCTGGTGCTACCTACTGGTAGGTCCATCATTTTCGCCCCAGTTGCAAACACGATTTTGACTTGAGCAAGTGTGAAAATTCCAATCAGATCAGGATTACTACTTTCCACGCCGACATTATCCTCAGCAACGCGAGCGACAAGATCAATGAATTCGGTTTGATAGATCAATGACCCGGGTGCAATACACCAGAGTGAGAATATCGTGGGCAACCATGCAGATGGAGAGTACTTTGGCAACTCCGACTCTCTGGTAGGAAGAAACCTAACGAGATAGGATTGTACGGTGAAAGCATCTCCAACGGAATTGGCATTGAGGAGAGGGAGTACCTCGGCGAGAATATCTTCGGTTGCTTCAGGAAGAAAGAATCTACATATATTTTAACGCCATAATAACTTAACTACAATTATATATAACTTCTCTCTTCCGGTGTCTAACCGATCCACAATAAATACCTTTGGGCATGTTCAACCAGTCGAACAACCGATCCTATTTGTTTGCTAACAGTTAGGCGACAGAATTAAGGATAGTGCGCGTATAATTAAGAGAATGATCGTTAAACGCAAGTAATAAAGTAATGATCTCGAATATATATAAAGGCACCATTGTGAGGATACGATTCACTGACTAAAGTCTTTTGCCGACTCTTTGGAAAAAAAGTCCTGCAGATGATATCGAATAATGGTTTCCAAGGAAGGGTCAAATCCTCAATTTCAAGTTTTTCCTTTTTCCTTTTTTAGTATGTTGGATAAATGTTGATTAACTTGTAAATATGTAGGTTGAACGAGACTTTAGTAAAAAAAAACATTGGGTCTGAAACTCGTACTTGATTAAACGTACACAAGTATTGGCAAATACTTCTGCGTGTGAGGCATCAATTCCAGGTGTGATAACGAGCTCAAACAGAACTTTTGCCAATTGAGCGCGAGTCTGACGTGTTAAAGGGTGCCTGAGATCTAAATAACTGAAACACGTGGAAAAAAGGGTGTTTTGTGTCCAAATGAATTTTTTATTAACTAAAACACGCATTTATTTTAAGGACCTTCAATTTTTCACGGAAACACTGGTCTCATTACCCGTTAAGTTGTTTCACCCAATGACCACAGCCCGGTCCCCAATCTTGTGCTTTCGCAGCAGAACATAGCTGCGTTACAATTTCATTCAACGTATGCTCAGCTTCGTCACTCAAGACCGAAGCATAAGGAAGACTTTCTGTCAACATTTGGAAAATACTAAATAATGAGAAACTCGAAAATATGAATCATCTTAATTTATATACACTATCTAACATTTCAAAAATGGCCAATGAGATCTTTCGTAATAGTTGTTCGAATTTGCGTAAGCTGGTGTACACGTAATGTTGTTTGAAGTTGCGTGGCTCTTTTACTTAATCCACAAATAATTCCGAAATCCTTGGCATCGACCCAATTTTGGTCAACCAAGTTCTGCAGGATAAAACACGATGAATCTTCATTCGACGAGATCACAAACGGTCGCTATTCTTCGACATATACAAATTTGCAAATACAATACGAGTATAAAACCTACCCTGTGCCTCAAATTGTAAAAGAATAATCCTTTAAATTTAGTTTAATTAAACCATTCGGTTGTATTTACACATACAGTATATTGATTCGCTTTCTTATAGTTGCAGTCCAAACCTTTGGATCTGGAAGCCGGGATTGCCCAATAGTTGTTAAAAAAAAAAAAAAAAAAACCTGTAGTCCACCATGGACAAACTTGTCAATTAACGAATAGTATGAAATACGATTATACCAGAAGTAGACTCGAAAACAAACATAATCTTATTATTTCTATATATTATTATTGGAATATACAAATTAATATTGTAATAAAAGAACCTTTGATTTTTAATGAACATTTTTCACCCCACCTGTTAAAGTATTGCAAATCATTTAAATATTTTCATGTGATTTTAAATAAATCAAATATAGATTCTTATTATTACTACGATTTATTAATACAATATGTTACAAGTTTATTATATTTTTATAAATAGATTAGATATGGGAATTATTTGTAAAGAATATAAAAAAACTAAATTTTTAAATAATCTATTTTTGTTGTTAAAAAATTTTAATTTTTAAATTGCATTAAATTTTTTTTTTTTTTAATAACTTTCAATCAATTTTTTTATTATTATACTATAAATATATATATACAGTATAATATAAATTAAAAAAATCATATTCTTGTATTAAAATAAATAACTTACAAAATACTTATTTTGAAAATATCAAAGAATATATTTTTATAAAGTTTCATATAATTTAAATGAATTGGTTATTAAATAATAAAGAAATATACGATTCTGATTTTTTTTTTTTTTTTTTTTGCATCACATTATATATATGATTTTATATAATTTTTTTGTTAAAATAATTTTATTATTTATTCGATACAAATTAATTTTAATTAATTATTTATTTATTTTATATCTATCGATTTATTTATTTTATTATCTTTTTTTTTTTTTGAAAATATCTATTATATAAAATTTATTCTTATTTAAATTAATATTTTTTTATCAAAATTTAAAAACTTTATATATTATTAGCATGCTTATTTTCTGCGATTAGTTCTAGTTAACAAAAACAATATACTGAATGTATACAGTATGTGAAGTTCGTCCGTTCGACAAATTGTAAAAATAATTAATATAATACAACTATTCATATTAAAAATAATATGAATGGCAACTATTTTATTGCGTGTTTCATTAATATTTCTCAAATTAAGCAATTGTAGATTATGAAACTGGATTTTTTGCCTTATGTAACCTAAGGATCTGTTTCAAGGTTCAACAATATGTGAATAGATAATACTCTTCGTGGCTAGACGCGTACATGCAAATATCATTCAAGACTCGATTAGGTTTAAAATTGCAATTAGAATAAAAGTAACACATTTTCTTTTTTTTTTTTTTGTCGTTTTTTATTTTGTGAATATTTTGATTTTTTTCTATTTTTCAATTTTCGCATAAAAAAGAGCAAATCTAAGAGGTTAATTATTTCCAGAAACGAAACATGAAGAAAAAAAAAAAAGAAAAAAATTCAAAAAAGAAAAACGCCGAAATATTCAACGTGAATATGACCGACATTTTTTTTGAAATTTTTGGGGAGAATGACTTGCTGTGTGTGTGTGTGAAACAAATAAGCACTAAACTATAAAAAAAAAAAAAAAAAAAAAAAAAGTATCGACTTCTACGCTCACCTTTGTGCTCAATATTAATTGTGTAAAGCGTCAAGGGGAATGATAAAAAATAATAATAATAAAGGAATTATGGAAAAAAATTTGTACAAGTTTGCAAAAAGAAAAAAAAAAAAAAAAAAAAAGATATATTACACAATCCAATTCGTCAATCGCTTAGGCAAAAATGAACGAATCGAAAGAAAAGGTAATGGTGTTGTAGGAAAGAAAAAAAAAAAAACGGAATCCAATAAAGTTTATATATATGAAATATATATATAACGTATTTTGGTTGTAATACTAAGCTAGTTCAGTCAAGTGTTCATTATAATTGAATATCCGCAAACATGAGACATGAAATTTTTACCGATGCACAATAATGCAAAGCAAATTTACCAATTGCTCTCATATTTTCCCTCAACGCAAAAAGTTTTAAGAAAGAGGAAAAAAAAAAGAACGATCTGAATTCGCCGAACCCTTCCATCAAAGCAAATGCGAAAATGAAGATACCGAACGTTCAAGGCTTTCTGAATTCCGTCAGTACGGGATAGATAGCCTCAAATGCCTGATAAATTTCCTCACGCACCTAAACGGGAAGTGAAAAATATCAGTATCCACTGATATCACAGATAGTCAATGATATCCATCAATCATCAGGATCCGTCATTTAAATCGACGGAAACTTACTTTGGCACCAGTAAGGACGATCTTCCCAGACACGAAGATTAGTAATACAATCTTCGGCTTTACCATCCTGTAAATTAACCCCGGGAACAGTTCGGGTTCGTACTAAAAAAACCGCAATCATTGCACGAGAAGCAAAGGAGGTGAGATCAGAAAATACGTGACGAAACATTAAGAAGGGTCAACGGATACTCACACTGCTGAAGTGTCCGTGAGAGTAAGCCAGGCCTTCCAAGCGTATTGGAAATTTCACATCACAAGAACCCACAATGTTTTGGATTTTGAAATCCGTAAACTTTGCGTTAAATCCAAGTTTCTGGATGATGCGAGCGTACTTTCTACTTGCAAGTTTTGAGTCGTCTTCTGATTTAGCACCAGTAACCACCATCTTTCCCGAAGCAAAGATGAGTGCAGTCGTTTTTGGCTCACGTATCCTCATGATAACAGCAGCGAAACGCTAATAACATTGTATTATTATATAACTTTGTTTAGCAACTTTTTTTCATAAAGATTTACCACAGTTGTCTATGCTACCAACGCATAGCAATGCGGTAGTACCTTTGGATTGTATTCTGCATTTCTAGCATGAAGGGCAATGGTCTTTAGGTCGAGTTTACAACCAAGGTTGACCGTAGCAACAATATTTCTATAGAAGAGGAGGTCACGTGTAAATGTTCCACAGAAAGGAGCAAAAAGAACAATATAAATAGGATTTGCATCCTGTAACTGAGAAAAATTACAATCTTTCTCACTTACTGCAATATTGGTAAGATCCCGGCTACGCTTTGTGGTTGAGCCTGTGAGCCTTCGCCGTTAGTCTGTTCATCAACCATCATGCTGGTGTTATTGTAGATTGTACCAAGGGGTGTCGTTGGTACCGCAACGGCATGATTGAAGGCGACGGGCATACCAAACTCGGTGTTGGGAAGAATAACTTGTTGACTCATTATGAAGAAATATAAAATGATTTGTACGTGGAGGCCTAAGAAGAAGACTTTTTTTTATTTGATCTTGAACAGAAAAGGTTGGATGAATTTTCTGGACGCAGGGGGAAAATAAGGAGCAATCAGGTTCGACAAAGTTTCACACTAATTCTCACTAAAGAGTTTAGTACTTGTTTCGGATCTCGTTAAATAACTGCTGAAACTGTACGAGATGTAAAGGTATTTATTTAAAACGGAAAAAAAAAAACTGGTCCTATTTATGGATTTATGTTTGTTGTGATGTTGACGTCAATCCTCGCCTTGACTATTATGATTTCACGTGATACGATGTTGATTATAATTATTGGACAGAAGTGTAATGATTGATTATTATTTTTTTTCTTTGAAAAAAAAAAAATATATTATTATATATATATATATATAATTATTCTTTATGATGAAAAAATTTGAAGCGAGGCCGTAAGTCGGAAATGTGGAGGAAGTGGGGCTTGAGGGATATTTATACGATTTTTGAGGGCACAACATTAATTCTAACCACGGGATTCATACAAGATTGAATTTTTTTATTGAACTCGCGATCGTATTCCTAAATAGTAAATTGATTGGTTCGACAAACCTAACACAGCCATGCGAAATTGTCGAGTGATGGATGACAAACAAGTCATACAACAAGCAAAAAAATTTTTTATTATTATACATACGCTAATTTTTTTTTTTTTTTTTTTTTTTTTTTTTTATATATATACAATACAATACAATACAATACAATAATACACTTTGTAAGAAGTTTTGTGTTGGCGCACATTATATACTATTTTATATGTGTCATTTTGTAAAATGAAGTGCATGAATCAATAAAAGATTAGTGTTTGTGCAAACTGATACAATTACGAAAAAAGAAAATATTTTCTACTTTCAAACTTCTTTTTTTTGGATTGATTTGTTGTTATTGTACATCAACCCAATTTAACACCAAAAGGACAGATCAGACCAGATGGTCATTCTATTATTTACATGAATGACGGATGCTCCCTGATAACAAATTAATAACAAATTTCGGCCTTTGTTGGGGGGGCTGGTCTGTAATATACGTGTGATATTTTTTTAAACTTGACGCCTTTTTTTTTTTTTTATTAGGCAAGTTTTGGGCTGAGAAATAGGGAAAACAAAAGGAAAGGCAACCTTTTGAAACTTTGACGGAAAAAGGGTTAAAAACGCCGGCGCAGAATAAACCGAGCACACAGAAAAAAATGTCTCTCACTATGTAACCTCATCTCAAGAATATGAGGGAGACATCTCTAGACGACGAATACATTACACTCGTAACATGTCAATAACCTTACTGAACATTACTGCGGAGTAAAGAAACTCTCATCTTGAGGCTTTGCTCGTAAGCGGGAAACCTCTTCTCAATTATCTTTCCGGCATAACCTTGTTATTAAACAGAGAAGTGGTCCTTGGAAGAGTTGGAAAGGAGAAAGAAAAGAAGAAATACATTTAATAATTTCGAACGAGTATTATTATACTAGAACAAAGCTCGACACATTTTGAAAAAAAAAGCAACACAGAATAATAACAAGGAGTGGAAAAAGCAAATCATTATAAAGTTACCTTTATTATTTGATTTTATAATCTACTGCATGCAATCAACCTGTTTACACGTACGTAAGAGTTTCATCGTCATGTGGTTATGACAAAATATTACCATTTTATATTCTCGGAGTGTCCCGGCAAAGGTACTCCGATTCAATAATGTCACTCGGGGTCATGATTGGCCTATGCGATTACAAATTTTCCTTCATTGTTGCACAGAAAGATTCCTTCTTCTTATCTTTTTCACTTTTCATTGCTCCTTCATTGCCGGAATAGATGGTTGGTTGTTTAATGAGGATCTGGGAACTTTGGCGTGCTTTATTGCTTTGATATTTGAAATGATTAATCAAAATATGGGAATATGTGGGATCATCATGTTTCCTTATATGAAGTCCGTCGCCTAGATTACATGCTGTGGTACTATTTGTTCATCGTTTAACCAACCAGATGATTCCGCCACGTTGCAAAAAAAAAAAAAAGATTTATTATACATATGCACGACTCTTTTTACCTAAAGCGTGATGTTTTACGAATGTTTTGAAATAAATGATCGTGGCTGCTTTCTGTTTATGTTCGGTGACCGTTAAATGTTGTGAGCGAGATATTCATCCGACTCTTCCCGACCATAGATCAAAAGTTGCAGAGATTACACCATCTGTGACCAACAAAAAGCATGCACACAAGAGAATCAAGTAAACGTCAAAGAGAAAAGTATAGAAGGGAAATTTTTTATTACAACAATAAGTTAGTGAGATTCTTGCGCTGAATTATGGAACTACTTGTAAAATGTTCAAATGGGGAGGGGGGAAATTAGAAAGGTGCGCGGTTCTAACAATGTCATTTAAAAATATCATAGATTATGCCGTGATTATTAATTTAATTGGGCAAATTAATTAGGTATATGTGCTCCTTGATCATGTGACTTTACCGACCTTATTCATAAACACTATGAATCTTGGCGAACATAATTTCCTTTGGGTGAAAAAATGTGAAATTTTAGTAATCGATCAGGTGAAATAAATAAATAAATAAATGAAAGTTATTAATTACCAGGAAATTCACCAACAACACCATCCACCTTGCCCACCCACCAATCAATAGGTCCGTTTCCTTTCTCGATTACTTCTATCCGATCGCCTTTCTTAAAACTTAAATCACTTTCTTCTTTTCCTTCAAAGTCATACAATGCAGTAACAAATAGGGATTTTGTGGTTTGTTCTTTAGTTGTTAAAACAGTATTAGGAATAACAGTATTGGACGGCGCCTGTGGGTTTGACCGAGCTTCAGTTGGTTTCACACTCATCTCATCATTCTGCCCTTTTTTTCTTTTAATGAAGATTACGATAGAAATAAGTAGTATCACGAAAAATAAGACCGCAGCGACGACGATTCCAGCAATTACTCCGCTAGTAAAATGATTGGTAGAGCCGGAGAGAGATGAATTTGGCTGACCAGAGCTAGGTATGATCATGGATGTAAGGTTATTAAACATCACGAGATCATCAGTATCCCATGCGAGATTTGCAATCGCTATCCCGCCATAACCACTAGTAGATATATAAGCTAGCTTCAATCCTAGAGATGAAGGATTTTCAAATGATACAAACTGAAACTGATTCAGAGAATTGGTTTCAGATGCTGCTGCTCTCAAACCAGTTGTAGTTCTCCTTGATGGAGAATTACTAGTTTGAGTATTATTAGTTAGAGGATTACTACTACCACCATTATTACCACTATTATTATTAAAAGTCTGGAAAATATATGGTTCTTGAGATGTACAGTCGGGTCGGTAATTCCACTCATGGTTATTGATTGAAAAATCTTTTGAAAGTACATTAGAGTTTACCATCTCTTTGAATGACCACGAATATGCATTGGATAAACTCGAACATCTAGTATCCAACTGTCCAAATGTGGTGGAGAGAGGATTATATGAAATTCGTGAAAGAGGTTTACTACCATTATTATTATATTCATTCTCGAAATCCATAGACTGAGCCTGAATCAATTCTATGATACCACCAAAATTCACGCCAAGAACTATTTTGCTCGTTCCAAAGAATTCACTAAATTTTTTAAGCATTTGCGGATAAGTCACTTGCAGGCCATCATAGGGTGAATTTAAGGCGATGGCTGTATTGTTAAAAAGGTTATACTGATATGCCTATTTCGCAAAACGAGAAGAATAAATATTAATAGTCCCCATAGAACATAATATAAGAAATATTTCTCACCATGATGTTTACGAAATCTACCGAGCTATTGAAAGTATCAAACTTATAAGCATGAACCAAATACTCCGGTCTGAAAGTGATCGATATAATTTTCGATGACATAGCTTTTGAATTGTGCAATGTATTTGTTATATTTGCGAAGCTATTAAAGTTATCCAGATTATTCTGACAATTAGAATACTCGAGATCAAGCTGTTATGATTTTAATAACGAAACGATTAGTTTTGCATTTATAAAACACAAATGATAATTTAAATAGTCTCTTACACCATCGAGCTTATAGTTATTGATAAGATTTTCTAAATAACTAGTAATATTATTAATTTGCCAACCCAGCGCTACAGCTAATTGAAAAGGTTGGACAGATAATAATACCTAAAATAACAACCAGTATTTGTGGGTACGCGTTAGCATGAATTTCATATATGGTTGAAGGAAAAAATTATTTACTTACTTTACAATTACTATTCTTAAAATTTGCCACATCCTTGAGTCCAGAAAGGTCGTTATCGTACAGTTTATCGTATACTTTATGAAATGCACACGTGAATCTGTGAGTTTTGCGAGCATAGAAACGATCGGAACATCTTTTTCATACCAACAATTAAGTGTGTCAAACGCGTTGTGAAATTATTTTGCGTATTTTGTTCGTTGGGTATATTATAATAACCGACAAAAAATGGTAACTTTACTGGAGGATTCGATGAAGAAAGACAGTCACTTGCCACGAAACCATTTCGCTCCGTCAGTAAGATAAGGACATATGAAAAAAAGAAAAAAAATTCATAGGGTAATAAGGAAAGCCTTTTCATATTTATAATCTTATAACTTCACTTCCTTATTCCTTTTAAACTTTAAAAAAGAAATATAGGCAAGCACAACGTAAAAAGGACTGGAGTGTCGTTTCGGTAGTTTCGAATGGAATCTCCGGCATAAAAGAAGTAACTCGTGGTATCCATGCATTTTATTATGATCGACACGTCCACTGCTATTATTGTATGTTTGGGAGGCTTTGCAATACATTAATCCGATTTGTAATATAGTAATCATGACCCAGAAGCTACTACTTTTGGTTTGCTTTCAAAACTAATTGTCCATATACATATATATATATTACTTTCCAAAGTGAACAAATAGCCAATAATAATACCCTTTTTTTTTCTTTAACCACGGTAATGTTTTTATTACAGAATAAAATCTAAAATCTTTAAATATGTTTCCCAATTAGCATTTACTTTTATTCGAACTGGTGTTACCTAAAAATTAACAAAACAGACCCAATATAGTAAGTATAAAAATTGATTATTGATCAACATAACAATATTGTGTGACTTAAGGTTTATCGAAAGTTGACGCAATGGTAGTTCTTCAACAATCCTCCACAATTTAACCATTCTCAATATTTCAAAATACCAAACGGTTAAAGTGGTTTTTAACCCGGAGATTTTAAACATCGAAATAATTGGATGCGACGAAAGTGCATAGTACTTCAAATTTGTTCTCAAGCGACCTGCAACTGACGAAAATAATACAAAGGCGAAAGAGCGTAGCAGTTACTCAAGAACTGGAAGCACTGCTTTTTTTAATGGATTGCTCTGTCGATAGGACAAGGATCTTACTTTTATTAATCCTCGCGTTCTGCACAATTGATCTGAGTTGATTGAGACCTTTGGTAGGACCTGAGTCTATTATCATAACATACTCTAAGTTCGTTACAGTTTATCTTGAGCCTGACATGAGAACTTACTTTGCCTGTAATAATAATTTGTTAAAACCGTTGTATTTTAAATTCATGCGCTTTTTTCTAGATCAAATGTGTTTTCCGTAGGTTAAAGATTTTAGAATGATCAGGAAGAGTCAAAATGCGAAATGGGATAATCACTATAAAAATATATTAAGTTTTTTACTGTCGCAATATCCTATGTAACACAAGTTATTTCAATTACTTTCTTGACTGAGGTAAGGAATTAAATTTGCATGCTAATATCTCAGAAATAAAAGAAAATCGGTGTCACTTTAGCTGGAGACAATTATTTTGCGATTTTTTCCTAGAGATGTCGATTGTAACAATGAAATTCCAAGAACTAATAACGCAGAACTAATATCAAACTATCATGGGTCTTTGAGGAAAGCGTAACCCACTATTTGCTTTGACATTAAAGTGTCGTGTATTCCAACTGACGCATTGCATTCATTCTCATTAACGAGAGGACTCGGAATATACTGGCGATTTCAGTAATACAGAAATTCAAGGCGTCGATCTTAACTAAAAAAATAAATATAAATAGGATGAATTGAGAGATTTAGAGAAGGAAATATTCTCCCAGGAAATGAGGTATGTAATGGTAACAACCTTTAATCTTTCTTATTATATATAAGTCTTACATCTTGTTTTTATGTTCAGTGGATGATAGACACAATTGATGCCTCAAGAAAGTTTAGACTTTATCAAAAACAATTATCATCAAGCGTTAAGGTGAAAAAATAAACATGGAAAGATACACACTGTATGTTTAAAGTATTTACTGTTCCCGCTCATAAAAATATGCCGAAATCATTTTCCTATTACATTTTGGAGTCCCATAATGTTAATGTATTGGTCATGTATTTATCCAACATTGTTACCTCCAAATGGATAAAAACCTTGATTCTAATTCGTATAAAATTGCAAAACCTATTGTACCAAGTTCACTTACCGCCTCCTTATACGTGTTCAGTTCTAAATCTACATTGAGTGATAATTAATTCGGTGGATTAGAGAAGTCGATCTGATTTAACAATATGTAAGTTACTGTCATCACAAGCAATTGAAAATCAAACGCTAAGCGTTAATTGATTAAAATAATTGAATTCCTAATCTTTCAAAACGAAATATAACTGAAGACATACATCAATGTACAGTATATTGTACTGTATATGATCAGTTTATATGAATGTTTTTAGGATGATATTACGATGTTAATTTCGAGATTAGACCCTTCATCAAAGTGAACTTTAAGAGAAGTCAATCTTGGTTCTATGAAAAAGAAAAGCATTAACTTTTAAATACAGGTATGTTTTCATTCATCATCGATTTTGAATATGATGGTATCCGTAGATCGCATTTCTCAAAAATAAGATGATCGAGGATAAGCATTCTGTAAATTATATGTCTGTTTCATTTAGGATGATATGATCATTTTTATATACAGTTTTGCGAATATGAAAATCGACGTTCACTCGGTAGTTACACGCCACTCAACAGATGAAAAGTAATTTCACAAGAAATCGCCAACTTTGCCACAATTAGCAACGTTATTGAATTAATAGCAACTTTCCATAATCATCTTATAATCGTTTTACAAAGAGTCAGAATTTCTAATCGGTTGCTATAAAAGAACTAGCTCATCACCTTCAGTAGAATCTATAGTATTAGCTTGGCAAAGACTGTTCACATAGATGTATCTAATACTGTAATAGTAAGAAAACTACAAAAACATTGAATGGAATTTATGGCTAATGCCCCACATATTAGTTCTGACAATTCTGAAACCATTGAACAATGTTTACGTGTTTATTTATTGATAATATACTGTATATGACTTTACAAATCATATCAAAGAGTGACTTAGGAAGTAATATTGACAGGACTTAACCATGCAGTACAGATTTGGTAACATTTCTTGAAAACAAGATTTCTAATGTAATAAATAAAAGAAACCATGCAACCGAAGAAATCACAAAATAAAAACATTCGATCTTCTAAATTCTATCCCAAATACAGTATATACAATAATTCATATAAATCTTATTTAGCAAAATAATCAAAAGCAATCCTAATTATTGGAATTTTTTTAAATATCAATAATATGAAAATTTTTTCTAAATGAAAATATTGAAAGAATTATATAAAAAAAAAAAATTCTTATATAAGGATTTATTTTATTGATTCTTGAGTCTCAATTTCAAATTCAAAAATTATGTGATTCGATATTATTATATAGAACTTATAAATAATATAATAAAAATAAATTAATATAATTACAAAATATCATTGAAATTAATTGGAATTAAGATATTGATATGTAATACTGTATATAATAAATCATTTTAAAAATTAAGTATATGTAACATACTGTATAACATACAATGTGTTACAAAACTTTTTTGAAATTTATTATTATTTATTATTCAAAAATCCTTATATAAAAATTAATAAAAATATATCAAAATAAAATTTAAAATTTAAAGATTTTATTCATATATAATTAACAATTAATTTTTTAACCATTATTTTTAATTATTAATTTATATCTTTTTTTATTGAACTTATAAGATCAATTATAATCTTAATTAAAATTTTTTTCATTTTTTGTTATAAATTATTTTAATTTTGAAAAAAATTTTAAATAATCCTATTTCTTATTTCTTTTAATAATAAATAATTAATAATTTTATTGGTATATTTAAAATTATTATTTTATTGAAAATATCAATTATCTTTAAATAATTTTTTAATTTTTTATTGATAATTTTTTTCAAAATAAAATTTTTATATAATATTTAAATATTTTTTTAATCAATCTTCACTTTTATATTATTATATAATTATATACAGTAAAACTTCTATAAATGAAATACCTTGGAACTGCGTATTATGTTGCATTTATAGAGAGTTTACATTTATAGAAAGTTTGCATTTATAGAAGGTTTGTATTTATAAAAGATTTTTTAATAAAAAAAATTTTAATAATTTATATTTATTATATAAAAAATTTAATTATTAACTAAAAATTGCATTATATTACTTTGTTTCATTGAATCTATTCATTTTTTATAAATAAACTTCTCTAAACTATTAATATTTTTTAAATAATTACTAGTATTTTCTTGTTGAATTAAAAATATTTTTATATTTTCTAAATTTTTTAATGCTTCATTAATATTTACTATTGGAATTTCATTACTATCGTCATCAATTTCTTCATCATTTTTTTCACTAAATAAAGAAATAATATTATCACTTTTAGAAAGTTCAAAAACAATATTTTCTTCTGAAAAAGATAAATATTCATTTGTCATTATTATATTAGAAAAGTCTAATCTATTAATAGATTCAGATAATTCGATAAGTAATTTATTATTTAATTTTTGAACTTCATTACTATAAAAATTATTACTATCATTATTATCAAGAAGAATTTTAGTTGTTTTTCAGCAATTAGAAATAACGTTAGTTGTAATATCATCCCAAGCCTGAATAATATATTTTATTGCTAATAAAGTACTCATTTTTAAATTTTTAGTATCTTCTCCACTTTCAATTTGTTCTAATATCTATCGAATATAATATCGATGATAATGTTTTTTAAATGACACAATAATTCCAGCATTCATTGGTTGGATTTTTGCCATTGTATTTGGTGATAAGAAAAGTATTTCAATATTTAAAAGATTTACTCTTTTAATAACATGACTTGGACAATTATCTAAAATAAGTAAAACAGGTTGACCTTTATGTACTCTAGAAATATAAATATCAAAATCTCTTAATCATTCTTGAAATAAGGTTGTTAACATCCAAGCACTATTATTGTAATGGTAAGTCATCTTTAAATTATTAAAATTTATATTTTTAAAACATCTCGGTTTTGCATATTTGCTGATTATTAAGGGATTTAACTTATTTGAACCATTAGCATTTGCACATAAAGCTATAGACAGACGTTTTTTATTTTTTTTTCATCTTGAAAGATGTATTGTTGCTAATAATTTATCAGGTTCTAATTGGTAAAACAAGCCAGTCTCGTCCATATTGTAAATTCTATTTAAAGAAAATCTTGACAATTTTTCACGGAATAATGGTAAGTTTTCATTAATAATATTCTAATCACTTGAATTTGCTTCACCATATAATTTTCATAATCGTATTCTATTTCGTTCTTTAAATTTATAGAGCCAACCAGAAGAAAATTGTAATTTGT